GAGTCGGGGCTGCTCTCCAGAGAGCTGGTCTGGATGGAGGTCCAAGGTTCACCATCCAAACACCTCATACGTCAGTCCATCCATACTGTCTTCTACCCACCACCACCCTCCTCAGCATCCATCTGTTCCCTTCCCTGTACATCCATCCACAGCTCCAACCATCCACCCATGCAGCTCACCATCCATTCAACCACTCCACATCCATCTATCTCAACCATCCATCCATTCATCAATCTCACTATCCATCCAGCAAGCTCACTATCCATTCAGCCACTCACCATCCATCCATCCATCCATGCATCCATCTCAGCATCCATCTGCATCCATCCATCCATCTACATACCCATTTCACTATCAATCCATTCATCCATCCATCCTCTAACTGCCCACCCCAGCCTGCCATGCCTTCTCAGCCCACTCCTCCCACCCCTTCTCTCCCTGAGCCAAAGCCCCAATCCCCCAATTCCCTCTCCTTGCAGGAGCAGTTCCCGGTGTAGGTGGCCTTGCTCCCGGTGTAGGTGGCCTTGCTCCCGGTGTAGGTGGCCTTGTTCCCGGTGTGGGTGGCCTGGTCCCTGGTGTTGGAGGCGTCCCAGGTGAGGAGGAGGGAGGCGGATGCTGGTGGCAGCCTGACTGGTGCAGGACAGGCGTGAGGAGAACCTCAGTGGTCTCCATCAACTCATGGTTCCCCCTGGGGGGTTGCAGACAAGGCTCTGCCCAGGTTTGCTGAGGGGACCCTCCAGGGGTGCTGAGACCCTCCTGCTGTCTCCATGCAGGGGTTGGAGTTCCGGGCGCAGCAGCGAAAGCAGCAGCAAAGGCAGCGAAATTCGGTGAGTCGGCCACAGAAACCCATCACTCACCCCTGGGGGCACAGACTGGGGCAGGGCACGCTGGGGAGCGGTGGGGGTGGGCACCCTGTGCCAGGCACATCACCCCAGCAAGAATGGGGATCACCCCGTGCTGCCTCACCCTCTCTCCGCAGGAGCCGGGGTCGGAGGGGTGCCCGGTGTTGGTGTGCCCGGTGTTGGTGTGCCCGGTGTTGGTGTGCCCGGCGCGGTGCCCGGTGTTGGCGTGCCCGGGTTGGTGCCAGGTGGTGGTGGGAGTAAACTGGAGCGTGGTGTGATCCCCCGGGGCAAGGTACGTGTTTGTCAACCGCGCATGGGCCCTGCTGTGGGACGGGGTGGGCTGGAACGCTGAAAGCCCCGAGCATGGCAGAGGGGTGGCAGAGGGGATGGCAGGCAGGATGGGGTGGTGGCAAGTGGGAGGGGTGAGGGGTGACATCTGAACTGTGAGTGTCCTCCTTCCATCGCAGGCATCCCCCAAGTAGGTGCCTAAACCTCCCAATTGGTAAGTACTCTGCACCTGTCCTCGGGTACATCTCAGACTGTCCCAGGCAGCCTCCTCATGTGCATCGGGGTGCTGACTTTGTGTCCCCTGCATGTCCCCGTGTGCCCTGGTGGCCCAGGCGTGGGAGGTGGTGTGCTGTCACCCATGAGTGCAAAGTGCCACCTGTCCCCCATCTTAGACCTGGGGGTACCGGGTTGCAGGGGGACAGGCATTAATGTTCCCTTTCTGGCAGGTGTGCCCGGAGTTGGAGTGCCAGGAGTTGGTGGCCTCCCAGGTAAGTGCTGGCAGGGGCCAAGCCTAAGCAGTGGGGATGTGCAGGCAGAGGGATGCTCCCCCAGAGGGATATGGACAGAGGCATGGAGGGAGTGGGGCTGCCCAAGAAAGGATGGACACACTTGGGGCTGGACAAGGAGTGGATCAGACACTGCCTGTCCTCACTGATGCTCCCCCATCATAGGTGGCCTTGGAGTTGGTGGCCTCGGAGTCCCTGGGCTTGGTGTTGGTGAGTGATGCTGGCCCTGGCACTGGGGCTCCCAGGGCTGGGCTGCAGGGAGTGGCAGCTGTGTGCCGGCAGAGTGCCCAAAAGGAAAGGGGCCTATGGGATGAAGGAGATGCAGGGTCACTTTTGTCCCACCCCACACTGTCACCCTGTGCCCCATCCTGTGCCTGCCACCTGCCCTGCTCCCAGGGTGTGATCCAAAGGGAATGCCACTGCTGAGCAGGGACTGAGGGCCATAACACTGGCGTTGCCTGTGCCATGGGAACAGGGGATGGTCCCATACCACATCCCCCACATGTGGAGCTGCAGGTCCCTCCTGGGGACCCTCTGGGCCTGTAGAAGGGTCTGACTGCAGCCCTGGGGGCAGCGAAGTTGGGGCGGGGGCTGTGCTGCTGCCCCTCTCTGACACAGGACTCTTATATCCAGGAGCTGCTGGGAAACCTCCCAAGGCGGGTAAGGAGCAGCCAGAGGGGCTGCAGGGGTGACTCCAGTCCCTGTCCCACCCTGTCCCCATCCCACGCTCCCCACCCTCACTGGGGCTCTCCCATTGCAGGTTTTGGTGCTGGTCTAGGTGAGTGCTGTGGTTTGGGGCTGGGGTGGGAGCATGTCC